AAAGTATATGCAAGAGAAAAAAATCTTATTGAAAAAAGATTCAATAGAAACAAAAAAAAAGTCATTTTTAATTATCATCGTGCCTCAATGCATATTCAATTAACAAAAAATGAACAAAAAAAATTAAAGAATAGCATGAATGGGGTGTCTACCAAAAGCCTCACGTTTTCTTTGCAACATTGTGAAGTAAGAATGCATTATTTGACTATGAGAATGCAGAGAACCTAAAAATTTGGGTACAAGAGAAGCAATAAAAACATTGATTCAAGAGTTGGTATATATTCAAAAAAAATACACATAACTTAAATATTAGAATAAATAAAGAAGCAAACAAAAGATTGTTTATAAATTATTCACGACAAGAACGCATAACCTTGTGTGAGACATCTGATTGTGTCAATTATCAATTTATGGAAATGCATATTGAGGTTGTTTTGAGGCATTAAGAGATCCATCGACTGCATTAAGGCTGTCCTCACCACCAATTTCTTTCATTAAGGCTATTAGGTATTCTTATTTCTTTCATTAGATCCCTTTCTCACCGGAACCAAACTCTATATATATATATATATATTTTGGTTCCGGTGAAAATACAATCTTATGAAAGAAATAAGAATGAATCTACACCCTCCATCTGGCACCTGCGATTGTATTGCTCACGATGTTCCGATGGGCAAGAATGTATTTTCAATTCAAATACATTTCTCTCTCAACCTTTTTCGAAATCAGAAACCCTAGAAGGCTTTCGCTATTTCTCTCTCAACCTATCGCTCTGTATATCCCGAAATCATCGCATTAGCTTCAATATGAAAACCACCTTCCCGGATCTTCTAAAATCTTCAAGTGTGCATATCTTATTGTTTTTGCTGTCGACTAGCATATTGCCTTCGTCTGTTTTTTCTTCTTCTGTGGATACCTTGGTTTTAAATCGTTGATGGATTTAGGTCAACTTATTTAGTTTTGCTGGTTTAATACGAAGTTGATCCCATTTTTTTTATCATTTTATGTTTGTGCCCAACATAATTTGAGAAATTGGAATTTGATGATGTCACAATCCATATGGTGGAACAACTATGTTGGATTATGAACATGGTTTGATCCGAGACCATCAAGGGTGCAACCATGTTGGATTTTCAACCGTAAGGCAAGATGTTGCCAACATGATTCCATACAATACTCTACGTTTTAATGCCCCCCTATTTGCTTCTTCCATGTTGTAGCTCAGTCTTTGGATGGTGTTGAATTTTTCTCAGATTAGAACTTTAAGGATTGCACATCACATGTTCGACAAAATGCCACAAAGACATATCTGGTGCAAAGTACTTCTAGCCCTCTGATTTCATATGTTCTTATTGAAGATTAAACACATGAGAAGTACTACCAACCTTTTTTCTACAAGCATCCTACCCCATCATCAATTTTATACCCAAGACAGCCTCAACCATTGCCAATATTCAGAAAATGCAGAAAGAAGCTCCCTCGATGCACAAAATTCTGATTAAAGCCTCATGTTGTTTGAATGGTGTCCAAAAACTTGGGTGAAGGCATCCAATTTTACAAGTGTTACAATTCGTTTGAGAGATTTGATCCATATGTGTAAATTAGATGACTTCTTTCGGTCAATCTTTCATTTTAAAAAAGATACATTTCACGTTAAATATTGGTGCATATGTAATTTGTTTTAAAGTGCATTTGTATAGTTGTGTGTTGTACTTTTGTTTTGAAGTGCATTTCTATTGCATGCTATGTGTTACAATTTTGTTCTTACGGAATGATTATTACTATTATTTTGCATAAATGTTCTATTGTTTGTAATTCCTTTCTTAAATAACATTCTCTACAGAAGTGCATTTTGAGATATTTGCATAGTATATTTAGTGAAGTGCATTTTGAATGTTTATTGTGACAAGTTTTTACCTTTTAGATGAAATATTCTAATGTCTTATTTTGACTAATATGTGTAAATTAGATGAATACATTAAAGTATTCTTTATATTAACTTGGTCCAATCTTTCATTTTTAAAAAGAGAGATTTGGCGTTTAGATATCAGTGCATGTGTTGTTATGCTTAACATTACATTTACAGTTCTTTGTATTGCACTTTTTGTTCTTACAAAATGCACCAAAATTTTAGAATAAACCTTATACTTGTGCTTGAATTTATATACATACATGCACTCACAATAGCAAAAGTCATGTTTCTATATCTATCATCATTTATGGTTCTCAATGATGAGCTATTTAAAACATCTAATCACTAATTTTTTTAAATTCGCGCACACGATATAAGACCGCCGTGCATTATGACAATTAAAAATTGTAATATCAAATAACAAAACACATTTCCAATAAAAGTAAAGTTAGAAGTTTCATAATGCATGGCTGGGGAACAGATGATCCAAATTAACCCAAGCGCCAATGCATCCCATAAGAATAGAAATGCAGCACACAAGAGTTCAAATGCACTTCATACACATTTGCTGTAAAATTGTATCACTATGCACTATACAAAATACAATTTTATTAATCACACTATTTAAATATTTGACTATGCTTTTTTTAAAAAAGCTTTTACTCCGTCGTATTAGATATAAAAAAGCAAAGCACAATGGATATTAGGTAAGTGCATTAATTGGGGGAGGTGGGTTTGTTTTGTTTGATCAGGACTCGGGTGCATTTTTCATTTCCCTTTTTGCCCTTAGTAATTACTCCTTCCATATTTTGTAAGAGTATAATTATTACTTACCATTATTATTGGTTACCAATCAGCAAACACGATTCAAAATCCTAGCCGTCCGATTCACCTCATCTAATGGATTAATACCATTCTCATTTCTTTCACCAAGCATATATATATATATATATATATATACTCTGTATATATTACTCCCTCCGTCCCCCATAGATCTTCCCAATAGCCTTTTCCTTTGTCCACAGTAGATCTTCTCATTTCATTTTTTAACAATTAAAATACCACAACTACCCTCACTTACTTTATTTATTACACCTCACCCACCTCATTTAATACACTCCACCCATTTTCATTAAGGGTATTATGGTAAACTTTCACCTTTTTTCAACTCTTCTTAAAAACCAGCAAAAGTCAAAATGAGAATATCTTAGGGAGACGGAGGGAGTAATTTATTAGATTATGAATAAACATAGATAAAGAAAATGACTAAAATGTAACAAAATAAATACAGAGTACTAAGGATAGTAAAGAAAGTTTAAGAAGAGTATCTAGAGTTGTAGACTTTTGAAATGGCAAATCCCACAGAACCTACCTTGAATTGGGTTTTCCATGGGGGACAGTGAGTCGGTTTGTCCTTGGCTTTATTATCTTTAGACTCAGTCAGAGATATGTCTGATTGGTTTATCCTCAGACTAATCCTACATTATCTTTTTAATTAATTCGCGCATTTATTATATATTTAGGCGGCAATTATTTAAATATGAGAAATGTTATATTCATAAATAAAATGGTCACAAAATTTACAAATTTATTATTTGTTAACTTTAATAAAAAAAACTTAAGTAGTCTAAAATAATTTTAAAATTAAAATTTAAACTATGAATGGTAAGTTTGTGAAATTTATGAGCATCTTGTTTGTGAACGTAACATCGCTTTAAGTCCCTACCTCGACAGGAATCAAATTTAAATGCCAATAAATCATTTTTAGGAATATGGAACATAACAGACCCATTTTTTGAATATTTTTTTCTCCTTTGTCCCAAAATAAATTACATTTTCTGAAACAAGCAGACAACGTGTATAGTTTTGTAAGGTTTAAAATAATTATATTCATAAATTTGTATACAAATTAAAAGATATATACTCCCTCCGTCCACCTAAGATCTTCCTATTACGTGTTACGAGGCTTGATCGACTTTATTTTCAATTCAATTTAATTGATTATAGGAATAAAATTTTAAAATAAAATTTATATAACAATAAACTACATGAAAAGTTCTACAAAACTAGAGGTGACAAGACTATATTATTTTACGAAATGACTAGTAAAAATGAGCAAATGAAGTGAGTAAAGTTTGACCCTGTGAATAATGTCTGAGAAGATCTATGGTAGACAGAGGGAGTACTTCGTAACTTAAATACTCCGGAGAAATATTTAAAAATTATATCAAAATGTCTATAAATAATAATGACAAAAATGTTATAACATATGTACCATACTACATAGTACTCCGTATTTTAATTCTACTTAGAAATTTATCCATGCATTTCAGTCATGTTTAAAAGTTGGTTGTTAGTTGTTTGTGTTAGTTATTCTAAATAAAATATACCGTAGTAAGTTTTATTAGCTGGTTAACCTGGTTTGACTTAATGGATGTGTTGGTAAAATTTAATTAGTTGTTTGAAATTACCCGGAGTAGTTGTTAATTTTGAGATTTAAAAAATAAATTATATACATGTATGTAAATATATGAGTGACAACAAAACCAAATTTTCTCAAAAAAGTAAGTCTTAGATTTGTACTCCATATTTTAAAGAGACCGTATAGATAGTGAATAGTTTTACTAAAAATAATTAACATAGCTAATTTTTTTAAAATATTAATTTCACAAATTTTTAAATGAATTCGAAGAATAATGTAGCTGTTGAATCAATCATCTTAATTGACTTTAACCTTGCAATTTAGTATATTAATTTAAATAAATAGAATAAATTAACTATGTCCCAGTATATTTGTCTATATAGAGAAAAATGAAAAAAAAGAGTAAATTCCATAATTGGTCTTTTATAATAGGGGGGTTTCCATATTTAGTCCTCTATTATCAAATATTACCCTCGTAGTCCTTTTTTTAAGGGTACCTTTCCACAAATGGTCCTTTTTTTTATCTTCTGTCGTGTTGATGTTAATTTAAAGGTTAAAAGTATAATTTGACATCAACATTATGTTTAGTGACATGTTCTGATATTGGTTAAACGGATAACACAAAAATAATGACTATAGTTGTGGGCTAGGGTTCTGATGAAAGACCACATTTGTAGACTATGATTGTAGTAGAAAGCGATTGTAATTCACAAACGACGCACACGGAACAGCCTTTGAAATTGTTTATGACAAAAAAAATATATTATCATTGTGAAATTACACTTTTAGCTCTCAAATTAACACCAACATGATAGAAGATCAAAAAAAGGACTATTTGTGGAAAGATACCCATAAAAGAAGGATCACTTGGATAATATTTGATAATAAAGGACTAATTAGGGAAACTCCCTGTTATAAAGGACCAATTATAGAGTTTACTCAAAAAAACTACGTAATTTATTCTAGCAGCCGAACCCAAAAGTCGCTCTAAGCCTTTCAAATTTCGGCTTTCCTGACCGAGTAATAAAGTTAAAAAATTATTTGTCAAATAGGGTAATAATTTTAATTATTTCTTTAGTCAAAATAATCAAAATCAGTCATAGAAATTAAAAAAAAAACCAATTAAAAAGCCAGTGTCTGAACATGGCTCCCGACAGGTTTAATTCCTTGATTTCAAAGGTCACATAATTAAGATGATCAAACTTTGTTGAATCCAACTCCAACCTACTTTTACTTTGGTCTTTGGCCTTGGTCGTAACGTTCTCTCATTTCTCAAAAAATAAAGGGATGGAGATTGGTAAAATGCCTCCAATTAACCTTAAATTTTAAGTAAAAGTAATATTATCATTCTTGATGTTATCATTATGGGTTAGGGACATGGTCGAAGATTTTTAACCGGCGGAACTCAAGAATTACCCAAACTTGGAATGACCTAATCCCGACCCAACCTAATTTACTGGGCTAACTGGAGTGAGTAACTGCAAGAGTAATGTCCAAAACATAGGTCAACCAAACCAATGGTTCAGATTCCAGACGAGGAGCGCGCATATCCAAGGGAAAATATAAAAGGATAAGATGATAGCAGTAAATATGAGAAGGCAGTAATTTTTTTTTTTTTTTGCACAGTTTTGCTGTCATATTCTTCTTGCATTTTTCTTGTCCTTGTGCAATGACACACCATTTATGGCACCCCCCACGTTCTTGTTCTCTTCTGCTTTAAATATCACCACTCCCCCCTTCACATTCACTGTATTCTCCATTGAAAAGAGGGAACCTTTATCTCCCCATTCTGAAACTCAAAACAAAAAGAAGATAAGAGATTGATTAGATTAATGATGAGGAAGTTGGGGATAACTTTACTCATAATCCTTGTCATCCACCAAAACTGCTTTCATTTCAGAGTGAAAGCAAGTGATGGGTTCATCAGAACCAGAGGAATCCAGTTCTCTCTCAATGGCTACCCTTTCTATGCCAATGGCTTCAATGCCTATTGGCTGATGTACATGGCTTCTGACCCTTCTCAGAGACACAGAGTCTCTGATGCCTTTAGAGAAGCCTCCAGCCATGGCCTCACTCTTGCAAGAACTTGGGCTTTCAGTGATGGTGGCTACAAACCTCTCCAGTATGCTCCTGGCTCTTACAATGAAGACATGTTCAAGGTATTCTCCATCCACACTTGAAGTGACCTTTTTGGTCAAAAGTACCTGCACAGTATATGTTTTCTTTCTTCCTTCCCTTTTCTTTTTGTCCTTGTCAGTTTATACTCTGTTTTCATTTATACACAACATTATGTGATTGATATTGTCACCCTCTCAACATATACTTCAAAATTTTCATTTTTTGTCCATTCCAAAATAAGTATTAACACTTAAAGAAATATGCCACTCACAAGATTTTTTTCTTATCATTAGTCAAACATCTTTCATTTTTCAAGCCTTTTCTTAGATCTGGTGCTGTCAAATTCAGGATGGAGGGAGATCCCACATTTATTAAATCTTTGAGCTTATTTAATTTTCCATGATTTTTGCTTTCTATGAAATTTTGAGTAGTAAAAATGCATCAATGCAACAAGAGGTCTATCAGAAACAACCTCTGCCTTTTAGTGTTGTGTTGTTTGTCAAAGTAGAGACATTAAAATGGGATTGAGAAAGTAATTTGTGTTTCTATATCAAACAATATATTCCTCAAAGATGACCAGTTTTATGTGTGGAATTGAAGGGATTGGATTTTGTGATAGCTGAGGCAAAGAAGTATGGGATGAAGGTGATATTAAGCTTGGCTAATAATTATGACAGCTTTGGAGGGAAGAAGCAGTATGTGGAGTGGGCTAGAAAGCAGGGGCAGCCCTTGTCATCTGAAGATGATTTCTTTAGAAACTCTCTTGTGAAGGCCTACTACAAAAACCATATAAAGGTATCATCACTGTTAATTCATTGAAAGAAAAAAACCAATTTTGCCCTCACTCCATGTTCCCAAAAGTGGACTGAGACAACATTGAGTCCATGGTCATAAAGTTTTTTTTAATCATCCCAAATCTATTAAATATGAATGAATTAATCTAGTGCTCCTTGATAAATATGGGATAACCCCATGCAATCCTTTGAAAAGATCTTTAGAATTGAACAAAGGGTCATGCTATAGTCACCACACCAAAGTTGACATTGCCAAACTGTTTGTGTGTGGTTGCATTTGGTTGGGTCAAACTTAGGGTGGTTAAAGTAGCATAAATCTTGAACAATACATATCATTAACAAATGCATGGACGAATATTACTAATATGTTCAGTTTTTTGTGACGCAAGTGGTGTATATATTTTTGTGTGTGGCAACAGACTGTTTTGAACAGAAAAAACACTTTGACTGGAGTAGTTTACAAGAATGACCCTACCATAATGGCTTGGGAGCTTATGAATGAGCCCAGGTGTACCTCAGATCCATCTGGATCCACCATTCAGGTCCTTATGATGCTTCATTTCTCTTTTCACTTTGGAGTAATTAAATTAGCGTTAATCTGCTGACTACATATACCATACATCCTAATACCTTTCTCGGCCTTTTGGCTAAGATCAAGTGTAGCATCTGTTCTTATCAGTTTAAGATCTGATATGTGGGCAATTGGCCCACACGATATTAACTCAATTTTTTAAGGGGAAGGCCCATCAAAGGCAGCTTGTTGTCTTGGGCTTTCAAGCGTCGCCTTGGTCTTACACTACTCCCTTGGCCCGGCGCATCCCACAAAAAAAATACATCCGGATGTACGGTGCTTCCCGTATATCTATATGAATACTCATATTTGAGTAACAAAAGACTCATTTTTGAATAACCAAATACTCACTTTTGAATATAATTGAATTTTAGAAATATGAATATCAATTATTTGAAAATGAGTATTCAGTTGATCGACAATGGGTACTCAATTATACTTAAATAAGTACTCGCTGCGGATGTACGGAAAACATTATACAACTGGTTGTACGTTATATATTGTATTAATCTTCTGATTCTTGGAGTAAAAATTGCACTTATGAATGAATGACAGTCATGGATAGAGGAAATGGCCAAATATTTGAAGTCAATAGACACTAACCATCTGGTAGAAGCCGGTTTGGAAGGATTCTATGGCCAATCATCTCCCCGCAGCAACAATCTGAACCTCAGCCTCAACGTCGGGACGGATTTCATCTCCAACAATCGGATCTCCGCCATTGATTTTGCAACCACCCACGTCTATCCAGATCAATGGCTGTCAAGCTCGAACGACGAAGCCCAGCGGGCATTCCTCGACAGCTGGCTAGATTCCCACATCCGGGACTCACAGATCGCGCTGAGGAAGCCGCTGCTCGTCTCGGAATTCGGGAAATCCCGCAAGGACGCGGCGTTCACCTCCGATCAGAGGGACGCTCTCTACAACGCCGTGTTCTACAAGATATATTACTCCGCCAAACGCGGCGGAGCCGCCGCCGGGGGGCTATTCTGGCAGCTGTTTGCGGAGGGGATGGAGAACTTCGGGGATGGATACGAGATTGTGCTGAGCCGGAGGAGTCCGACTGCGAATCTGATCGCTCAGCAGGCACACAAGCTTGGCCAGATCCGGAAGATCTTGGCCAGGATGACGGAGGCTCGGCGGCGGCGGCGGCAGAGAGGAGGAGCTTCCGGTCGCGGCAAGGGGAAGCGAATTGGAAACTGATCCGTAGTACTGTAGTTGTACGATTTTGAAGTGGTAAATTTTCCGCTAAAAAGTTTTAAAAAAATGGAAGAGTACACCAAATGTTCCCCACCCCTTCCTTGTCCATTAAAAAAGGTAAAAAAATTTAAAAAAATAAGTAAATATAAATCAAATAAAAATGTGTGGAGGAAAAGAGGGTGGTGTACATTTTGGAGTACACCAAGTGTACCCCTAGCATTACTCAAAAGTTTTTAGTAATTTTCAAAATCTACCCCATACGAATGAATATCAGGAATTCAAAACGAGACGAAATATTAAATTTTTAAAATTCATCTTAGTTATATAAAAATAAAAAAATTGTACACTTATAAACTACACATATACAAGATAGAAATAATAAGAATATTTAATAATATCAAATAAACAACAAAAAAGTAAAAATAAATTAAAATTTTTGTAAATTTAGAATGATAAATTGCATAAACATTTTGGGACCGAGGAAGTACTCTATATTATTCAATTTTGATCTAATGGTGGATAAGTGATCCAAGAAGGTTGGATGAGACATGATGTAGGGGGCGAGTGAGGGGTAAGAATCATTCCTTTTTTTTATTTTTAATGCTTTTCGTAAAATATTTTAAATCAAAGTATCAAAGTTTAATAAGAACGAAAAAAGTCGACTTTTATACGGAGCATTACTTTGTGAAGACCTTAAATTGAAAGCAAGCAGAAAAATCTTGACATATATTAATTTTATTACTGAATAATATTAAAGGTTAGAACATCACAAATATAAGCTAAGATAGATGGACAGAAACCAACTCTAGGGAATCAGACATAGAAAAAGCACGTAATATTAGAAAACAAATTGCAAAAATAAAAAGAAAGAAACTTGGCTAAAAATCATGGAGTGCAACATTAAGAGATTTTATTGTTCAAAGTTTGGCATTAGAAATGTTTAAAGCAAGTATGGAAGGATGGTCTTTTATTCTCTATGGTGTATTGGTGGATTAAAGTTTCCTAAGTACAAGGACAAAAGTAATGGGTGTAATATGTTGTATACTCAATTCAAGATCAAGCAATCTTCCATACTCTTCAAAGAGACTATCAAGTATTCCTCCTCCAAAATGGTGTGTCAACATTGATTCTTGAACTGCCCTCACTCCCATAGCAACTCTCCTTCCATAGCTCACCATCATCATCTCCCCATCATTCTTATAAGAATATTCTTCTTTCTTATTGTCTGCTCCGAACATTTGTAGCATCTCCATCTCGAACGAACCTTCACTCTTCACTGCCTTCTCTACCTCTTCCATCGATGGAGCATAAAAATGAACGTCGTATGCGTCCACCTTCTCCTCCTCCACTTCTCCCTATTCAAAGATTGTCCGTTAATGAAACACTGTTAATTAGCTAGCTATATATTCTTTTCCTTAATGGTAAATTAATGATTGGAAAACATTATTTTGGAACATCACAGAGAAAAAAATGTAAATTTTATTTTAGGACAAAAAGAGTATATGTAAAGTTAAGAGTTACAGTTGGATTTCAATTTCAAAGTTGACCAAATTCTTACCTTGGAGATCAAAATTGAGAATGCTTTGGTGAGGAGGTCCCATAAGAAAGAATTGCCTCTATCAATATGAATAGAGGTTTCCCTCCCAAGAAAAATGAGCACCATTTTCCCTCCCATGACTAGCTCCTTTGACCTCAAACCAAGGAACAAAGAGAAATCCAAATTAAATTGGTGAACATAAGCTTGGGCCACCTCCGGGGGGCTCCGTTGTGTTATGTATACGCTTCCTTTGTTTTTTGGCCTTCCTTCTGCGTCGTATAACCCGGGTGGGACCTACACATCATTTACACCCATTATATTTTTACCACCTTTTTTTTTCTTTAATTAATATTAAGAAGAAAGAATTGAATATCTTGATCCAAAAATTATTTCAGAATATGCAAACAAAATTATAATCTTAACGCCTTTTGAAAAAAAAAAATATCAGCTTAACATGAAAAATAAAGAATAAAATATATGTTTTTGAGATGTCGTGAGGGGGCGTGGGCATTGGGTAGGAGTTTATGAGTGGGCTATGAGGATATAGTATTAGGAAATGTCTCACTTAAAATGATGTCACAAAATTGATAGAAATTGTATGTATTATTTGACTACTACCATTTTTAGAGAAAATGGAGTCCTCATTGATAGAAATACTTCGTATTAATTGGGGACTAATACTCTTTTTAGAGAAAATAATACAGAAATTAATATTTGACTCTTTACGATATCTTTTTTTTTTTTACTAAATTTAAAAATATAAACTGAAACATTGACTTTGAAAATATGAATACAAAACTATATATATACTTCGTACAATACTCTCTTAATTAATTGGTGGTTCAAAGTGCAACTTTTGAGTGAGGAGTTAGTGGGTACTCAGTGGTAGATACAAACTTAGATTCCTCACACCTCTATTATCGCACAAAACCCCACTAATATAATTAACGCAGCAAGTGTAATAATCACCACGTTTTGAACTCACTCACTCATAATTATTCGTCTTCAACTTTGCCCTTTTTGTGAATGAAAGAAACATCAAACATGTGTACACACTACACAATCTTAAAAATATGGTCCGTCCAAATTTGTTTGAGGTCATGTGCACAAAATCATACTTCTTTCGTCTTAATTTAAAGAGTTTGTTTTTGTTTACAATGTCTGATTGAAATTACTCTCACCGTCCTAAAACTTTCTTCCCAGAGCACTATTCCAACTTCACGGGAATTTATATTTATTTGTATTTTTTCATGGCCTATATGATAAAATAAAATATTCTTGTCACCACTTATTTTGTTAAACTTTTAATGTAGTTTTTAAATATGTATATTTTATTTTTTATTTCTATACCAATATTTAAATAAAATAGATTGAAAAAACTTGGGATTTTTCTTCGTTTTACGCAACGAGAAGAAAGATATAGGACGAAGGGAGTATTTGTAATACTCTGTATAATTTATTAGTAAATTTGGGGGAAATTGAATATTAAACTTTATATATTACGGAGTACAAAACTAAATCAAAAGCTTTACAAAATAATATGTGACATAATTATTTTTTTTCATCAAATGAGTAACGAAAATAAAGGAAGAAAGTGAATAAAATTTGATAATACATTTAGGGCCAGTTTGTGAATAACATTTTTTATTAGTGTTAGAATTTTGGATAAAAGTTTAACGTTACTGATTAATTTTGAAAACTCTAACGCTAAACGCTACCTGTAGTTAGCCTTTTAAAAATGCTAATATTAATCTCTGACGCTATTCCCAAACAGACCCTTATTAGTAAACGTGCAACTTAATTTGGGACAGATGTAGTATTGTCTATACGGAGTACTTCATAAGTTTTAAAATTATTTCAATATTAGATTAAGAATTTAGATACTATGGAAATATATAGAAAACTGTAACTAAAGTAAAATAAAGAATCATGGCAACAACAAAATAAGGAAAGTAATAAACAATATGATTACTATGTATTTTTATTTATTTTTCTTATTCTATAATAAACATAATTCTTTTTTCTACTTTATTGGTCAGATTTTCTCATGTAGTGTATTTTATATAGATTAATGTAACTTCCATAAATAAGACTAATTATTATGAAATTGTATCAATAACTCAAAAAAGAGTAGAATAAAGCTCTAACATTATTGACCATAATGCATGTTCCCAGAAAATTTATTCCCCACATCAAAACTTTTTCGTTAAAAAGGATAAGAAAACTAATTTCACAACGGACCAAAAATAGAGTGAAAACAAAAAACGTGTCCCACTGTCGTTTAAAAAATTCGACCCTAATAATTTTGTACGGGTTTACTAAAATACTCGTTCTGCGTTTGTTGGTTACCCAACATCAAATCATCCAAATGATTGAAACCAAACAAAGGTTATGATCTAATTTCAATTTTGCACTTATATTTAATATGTTAGGACAAAGTCTTAAAGTACAAAATAGAGTACAAATATAGGGTACAGGTAGAATTTTCTTCAAACAAATTGTGTAATCCCTAATAAAGTGTTGATAATTTGATGGAAATCCAAAAATGAAGTTTTTTTTAATTTAAAAATACGGAGAACAAGAGATATCCAAACACCCTGATTCCCGAAAACAGGCTAGGAGAAAATTGATCAAGATACAACTAATTATGATTAAAATTAAATATGCTTTATATATCAAAATAGAACTTTTGACATTTCTGTTCTAAAATACTCCCTCCCTCCCTGAAGAAAAATATAAGTCTTTTTTAGTACTCCCTCCGTCCTATAAAGTCTTTCACGTTTAAAAAAAAGTGTATCTCCAAAAGTCCTTTCTATTTCTATTAAAAACCCATTTTTACCGCTTACTTTTTCATACCCTACCTATCACATCATAACTTTTTTTCTAATAATCTATACATCACATCATACTTTTACCCATCACATCAAAAATATTTTTGGAAAGTTAACACAAAAGTACCTCGCCTTATTTTACCACTTTAGTTAAATCGTCTTTATCTTTATGAGAATGAGATAGTATAAGTTTCATATTTCAATTTTACGAAATATTTAAATCGATTTCGTATGTCTAAACATCCCCGTAGCTAATTTTCAGATTTCGACTCTCTTTGGCTTTTCAAAAAATTTCAGCATTTCGAATCAAATATCCAAGTAAAAAAGTCATTAGTCAAACAATAACTTTCACTGTTTGAGTAGTCAAAAAAGTCAAAGTCAATTAAATATGTCAAAAGTCATGCAAAAAGCTATTTTTCAAGAGTAATGCTAGAGTCACAAACAAACAGTTCACAAAATTCACAAACTTACCTTTTTAACACTTTCCTAGAAATAAGATGCACTCAAATAATAAAAGATACTCCCTCTGTCCCTAAATAAAGTTCCATTTTTGACTTTTTGAGGATTTAAGGGAGTGATATTTTTGTGTTGACTTTCCAAAAATACCCTTGATGTGATGTGTAAAAGTAAGATGTGATAGGTAGTTTATTAGTAAAAAAAGTATGATGTGATAGGTAGAGTATGAAAAAGTAAGGGGTAAAAGATGTTTTTTTAAGGGAAAAGAAAAGTGTATTTGGGAACAAAGAAAAAACGAAAGTGAAAGTTTATTAAGAGGGAGTATTTTATTTTAAAATCCATAGAAGGCAAGTTTGTGAAGTTTGTGAACTATATGTTTGTGACTCTAGCATTTTCCATTTTTCAAACAAGGCTTATATCAAGATTCATATTAAGAAAAGTAAAAAAAGAAAGAATAAGAAAAAGAAAGACGTTATTGCACACCTTGGAGAGCCAATGCAAGCTATTGGATGAATAAACAAAGTGCAACCAATTTTCCGGGAAAAGCCTTCCATAGAAAGTGCCGGGACAACCCGCTATGTATATCCAAGGCCCTCCCTCTCCTCCTCCTGCACCGCCTCGTTCCCGTTTCAGCTCCGCCTGGAACTCCGGCAACGCCTGGAAGATGGAGTTGAAGTCGTTGGTGGGGAGATCGTTGAGGTAAACCCGAAACTCCGGCTCCGGCAAGCCGAGCGCCCGGCCCGCCCACCCCACCCTCTCCACCATGTCTTTGACATTGGACAACGTGTTCGGCCCCGAGGAGCATCCCAAGTCGGCTATGCCCATGCTCCTCGGAACCGTCCTCACAAAAACTTGTTCTATGCTCTCTAGTGTCACGTGCTTCACCTTGTCCGACGCCTTTTTCTGATTGCATTATTTTCAATTCAGTTTATATAAAAAAATTAATACAGAATTAAAACTAAACGAGTATATCCTTAAACATTTGATCAAATTTAAAAATAAGAGTTGACATGACTATGTTTTTAAAAAAGTGAAATTTGCAGTGAATAGGACTAAAACATAAGTCATTTCCCAATGTAGGACTTAAACTTTTTTATTCCTTAAATTGGACTTAATAATGATTAGTGAGAAGAATAATGTTCAAGTGATGCTGAATATTTAGTTGAATAATGACTAATAGATAATGACCAATGATCCTACATTGAAAAATAAAAACATATGGTTCTATTTTAATAAAGTCATTATATTTTAATTCTATTTAGATAAATTACCCTTTAAAAAAGTAGTTTGATTTTGTAAAGTATACAAAATATATAAATGTAAATGGTCAAATGAGAGAATGAATTGAAATACATAGTATGCACTAAAAATGTACGGAGTATAAGAAATTAAAGTAGTAAGATCAATAATGGATACTCCCTCTATTCTCAAAAACTCTTCCTCTTTCATTTTTTTTTACTTCTAACAAAATACTTTCACTTTCTATTAAAAAACCATTTTTACCCTTATTTTTTCATACCCTACCTATCACATCATACTTTTTCTCTAATACTCAATCCATCACATCTTACTTTTACCCATCACATCAAGAGCAAAATTGGAAGTCAATTATAATTTAGCACTTCCTTATTTTTACACAAAGTCAAAATAGGAACACTTTTATAGAACAGAGGGAGTATTATAATTACTTGAAGGGAAGAGTTTTTGGAATAGCTAGTTTGGCCAGTGCCTCCATTCATGTGGAAAACTTTCTCAACGTCCATGGTGGTGGTAGTGGTGGTGCCGCCGCCGTAGAGGGCCGTGCTAATGGAGGGTTTGGGAGATTTTGAGGCCATAGGTTGCCGGCGGCCGGTGAAGCTTAATTAATTACCTGAGTTTTGATAACGTTTTGATACATCGAGCCGATTTTATATATACACCATTATTACACCCTAACAGTACATTCAAATTTTCAAATTATTACCCCGTATGAAATACAGCGTATAAAGTCCTTGTTTGTGAATAATATATTCAATTAGCGTTAGTGTTTTAGAAAAATTTTTAATATTGTCATTCTGAAAACGTTAATGCTAAGAGCTATCGTTGGATAACTTTTTTAAAATACTGACGTCAACGGGCCAAAGTATTTTTTGGTTTTTGTAGTCCGAAATGAATTGTTTTTTTTTTGAAATACGAAATGAATTGTTATCTTGTCTTAACTTAATGAGAATAAAATAAATTCTACAAATAGTCTCTTTTGTACTCCTTTACCGTAAATGAAGCAAAATTTCAAATTTTTTTTAGTGATTTTCATTTACCCTATGTTTGTTTCAAGGAATTTGGTAGGGAAAGAAAGAAAATAGTTTTAATTCATTTTCTTCACCAAAATGGGAAGAATTTGATTTCCTTCCTCTTAATATATACGGAGTACTACGTATTGCCTTCTCATTTTCTTTTCTTTCCATTTTTCTTTTCTTTTCATCTCTAGCCAAACAAGAAAAATGTTTTTCTTCTCCCCTTTTCATTTTCCTCTTAAACTCTTTGAACCAAACATAGTGTTAAGATTTATATAGAAATTAAAAATAGATACTTCTATATTTAAAAATTACGTCAAAAGTTTTACAAAACAAAACGTAAATAAAATGTTTTATTTATCCAAATAATAAACCAAAATGCCACAGTAAAATTCTTTTTGTGGTGGATAAAATTTTCCTTTATATAAAGCGTCTAATTCTAAGAAATTATATTCGTGTTCTTCAATATTTGAGGGGCGTTTCATAATCAATTCTTAAAGAACTACGACCTTGTTTGGGAATAGCATTTTCTCTCCACTCATTAATTTTCATTTATTTGTATTTTTCATTGATTCTTTGATAAAATAAAATATTGGGGTTTGGATTTGAACTTTTAGAATACAGTCTACCTAGAATTAACGAGGGCCCACAAAGTTGTGGGCTGGGATTGGGTCCTATAGTCAAGCCCGCGGGCTGGCCCAAGCCGACATACAAATATTAATTACTATCTCCGTCCCAGAGTATTTGTTCACTTTCATTTTTACACACCATCCAATACACTTCTTTAATCCATTTTATCTTGTAATTTGTATATTAAAAAATTATAGAAATTATATATTAATAATCTATATGTTAAGACAAATAAATCAAACAAAATCACACATGAGTATATTTAGGCTTACACATTGAGAGAATTTGATAAGTCAAAGTGCTTAGATGAAAAGTTTCAAAAGTCAAAAGTGGAAAAAATTGGGGAACGAAAGGAATAAGTTGTTATTGGAAAAAACTTGAAGGAATTGGAAAAGCTAGAAGTTAAATTTTCTAACCTAAATGAATGTATCATTAAAACATATCACCTCAAATACGAATAAAAATGAATTTTTTTTATTCTAAATTCTTATATAGTTATTTAGGTAATTATTTAATTAAGTTATTTTGTAACACTATAACTTTTCCAATATTTTCCAATACTTTCTAGTTTTTCTTTTAACACCTTCTAGTTTTTTAAATTCATTCCAATTTTTTATAATTCTTAATTTCTTTCCAGATTCTAGCTCTAGAAATTCTAATTCAAAAGGATTTTAATTAGACCTCGCATTTCTTTTTCACTAGTCATTCTCCTCCACTCATATTGGGCGCACTGATTGGGCGAAATATAGCACTAACCTTCCACATTCAACCACCTACGCCTCTCCTTGCGCATTTTACCCACCTTATTTATTTATTTATTTATTTATTTATTTATTTATTTACTAATTACTCCTTTTTACCAGCTAGCACAAAGTAACTCGCTTATAGGGAGGAGAATCCACGTTGGATTCTTACGGGTGATAATTATGAACTAACTAAAAAATGTTCATCTTTGAAATAAAAAAAAATAATGAAATAGAAAAAAAAAATTAACATATACTATCTAATATGTCTATGCAATATCTATCAATTTATTTCTATAAATGAGATAACACAAAATATCCCATTTTTTTTAGATAGGTACCAAAAAATGTATAGATTCTAATATAATTAATTTGTACTCAAGATGCTATATTACGGAAATTTTCTAAGCATGGACACGAATGAACATGTAAAACGCGCCTAACAATTAAAACTTGACATAGGGACGGCAGAGGAAGGTTGGCAGCGGGCGGCTTTTCATTCCGGCAAAGAGAACGCTGGAGACGGCGGTAGTGATGGAGATTAACGGAGATAGAAAGATGTGATCAGAAATGGTGGACACCAAAAAAACAATAATTCAATTTTAGACCAGGGGCCTGATTGTAATAAACAAAAGTACGATAAATTATGTGGAATATGGTACCACATGTCTACCTCTCATTGGTCCATGTGTTGAGTGTACCAAAACCCTCAATTTTAAACATGTACCAAAGGAACCGCCTTGGAGAAGATATAAAAATTTGCGGATTGATAAAATTTAAAATTTGGGACATTTTAGAAAATCAATATTTGTGAGAAATGTCAAATGTGAGATGTCAAATTTGATGCTTGTTTAAGTTTCAGTGTTTCACCAAACATCTACAACATAATTTTGACAAAAAAAATTACATTACCCGGTAGAATTTTTGTCTGGTATGATGCATAAAGAGGCTCTTTGATGGGCCATATATATTACGACCCTCAAAACATTATGGGGTAGTAGTGTCTAGTCCTAAGACCCATATTACCCCCCCATCGACTTCCAACCAGAGGCGGACCCACGTTGAGTCCCACGGGGTCCCGTGAACCCACGAACCTCCACGTGGGATACTATACATATTAAGTATTCTGATATTTAGTATATATCCTTAAGACCCCTAGGGGTAAACGAGTATTGAAGCGGTGCAGTGGAAGCGCTACTGATTTTTTCACTTCCGTCGTCCCTGCCCTTTCGTGCGTCTCTCACCCTCTCCCGTAACTAAGGGTCTAAAAGAAAAGATAGATTGGGCCTGGGCCTCTTATACATACACATATATAATATTTAAAAAATATTTGGGCCCCTTAATTTTTCTGGGCCCGGCCCGGTAGGACTGTTTTTTCCCCTATTGGGCCGGCCTTGGTTGCAATGTTTCGTGAGAGGATTTCTTAGTGATACCCAAATGTATTATACTAGTCATTAAATCATGTACATACATGGATGAAGGGCAAAAATGTCTTTAGAAATAATATATATTTCATTCGAATCCTCGACTAGCTTTTACGGTATGTAATTGTAATACTATAATTTTGTCATTTATTTTTTTCTTCTAATAAAACTGTGTTAATTATTATTTAAATATAATTAGTTTACATATTTTAATTTGTTAGACCATTAAGGATAAAATTTTTAGAGCTTTTTTTTTCTGTTTCGGCCCAGGCCGATGAATACTCAAGACCAGCCATTCGCATGCCTTTTGTTTACTTTAGATTAATAAGAGAATAGCTTGTACTGAGACTAAAATCTCCCTACTTATATAACTTGGCCAAAGAACATAAGAAAATTGACATTTTAGTCTTAACAACCCAATTATGCCTTTCTTGGATGACCTAGTAAAGTCTCCAAGCCCAGTTTTGCTGCCTGCCCTGGTCTGGAACCTACTTTTTGTTTGTCCCATATTAACTTTAGGAGCAAGGGAGAGTATTTGATGCCTAACAAAGATTCCTTCGCCTGCTCAGGATGATGCTGTTACTCCATGCCACTTTCTGAGTTTGAAGCTATTGATTTGGTGAAGACATGCTTAGCATCAGCAGCTGAAAGGGATATACTCCCTCCGTTTGGAAAAACCCTTCCCATTTGATTTGGGGGCAAAAATAAGCAAGTGTTAAATTATAGTTGATTTCCAATTTTGCTCCTGATGTGATGGGTAAAAGTAAGATGTGATGGATAGATTATTAGAGAAAAAGTATGATGTGATAGGTAGGGTATGAAAAAGTAAGAGTAAAAGTGATTTTTTAATAGAAAGGGGAAGTGTTTTGTTGGAAGTGGAAAAAATAAAAGATGAAGTGTTTTTGAGAACGGGGGAAGTATATTATATATACACTATTACTGTAAGTCTCTTTTATGCATCTTTGTGTAGTACTTGTTTTAGGGCCCGTTTGGTAAGGCTTCCATGGTTCAAATGGTTGAATGTCCTTAATTTTTTGAAAGGAAAAGTGGTAATATACTAATATGAGATGGTTGCCCTTCATCATTTTTTTGAAAAGAAAAGTGGTAATATGACAAACGATGAATCGCCATTGCGCCCTATAAGCCTATAATAATGGCCCAATAATAATAATAACAAAAAAAAAAACAAAGAGCAAGCTAAGGGTGATCAAAGTGCGACAAGAAAAAACACACAAAACGGACGCAAGCAATAAGACCACAAGTCCATACAACGAGGGTGGAATTTCTGAAACCAGGGTAGTTTGTGGTGAGATTTCAAATTGAAGAAGAGAGGGATGAACTTGTTCAAAGGAAGAGGTGTTGGGTTGCGTTCGGTTCAACTTATTTTTGCTGCTTATTACTTATTCTTATCGTAATCAGATTAGATGAGATCAAACCTGATCAGATCAGAAACATTTTTAATTATAACTACAATCATATCAGACCAGATATTTAAAAAATCAGATCAGATCAGACAAACGCAATGCAACCTTAGTTTAATAATAACCAAGTGTATGTCCAAAAGTGGAAGCCTGGAAGCAAATTCATTTGGGCGTATTAACTGATATTGATTCTTATGCCAGATTTAGAACTGAAATTCTGGAGTCTAGCTGGGTTGAGTAAAATAGACAGCCTGGTAAGAAAGCCTTTGAGAGCTGACAAGGCCACAAATACTAGAACTAAGATGGACTATATATGCCAGATTACTGATTGCAGTGAGTATGAACCAACATTTCTAGAGCAAATTACCAAACATGGGACTAAAACTATTACAGTTGAGGAGGGAATTTCAGATCATACTACTCCCTAGCTTTTACCTACACAGAACAATAGGAAAAACAACAAGGTCTTCAAGTATTGTGACATGTGCAGCTTAGATCTTTATTATAAGGTTGTTTCCAAGCTCATCTCAACAAGTCCGTCACTCTATTATCGGTC